CTCCGTCAGAACTTTTTCCATGTACTTATCAGCGACGTGGAAACACTGAGCGGCGACAGCGATACCCAAGACGTGATGAGACGGCTGGTTATTGTGACCATATTGACCAAAATCTTCGCTCGTAAGTCCCAACTCGGTTTCTTCGTGAATTATACCCCGATAATCGCTTGTGTAAACTGGGCACACCTGTTCACTGAAGTGATTCTCCAAGTGCTCACAGAGTGCTTCTCGGCCACCATACTTCGTGATGAGGAAATCCACATTGAAAGGCGCATAGAAGCGATACTGGCGCGCTGAAGCCTCAGTAAAGAACTCAGCTGACCACGATGACGGGTCGAACGGAGAAATCCAGTTCCCGCTAGCTTCGAGCGGCTCGAACAATTTGCTCTCAGTGTTAAAGGACATCTCCAGGGCCTTCTGAGCTCTGCTATAGAGAACGCTAGCATCAGAACAGTGTCCTAGTTTGGACGCTGCTGCTGCAATCACAGAGTCGGCCTCGGCGAAATTGAGGCCTCTCGATACGACTTCGGACACACTTGATTTAACCGGAATGTATCTGAAATCATTTCATCATCATCTATCCATCATCAATGAGAGAACTACAACTCACCCTCGGTCGGAGTACGCGCCAAGTCCTTCTCTTCCAAACTGCGAGTTCTTAGGACGTTCCACAAAAGCGTCTTTCCGGATGGCCGCGTACATATCATCAGCCAAATGCGGCGTCTTGTTGGCAATTATCGCCCAACCAAAAACCTGAAATGATTAATGAATACAACATTAAAGGTGAATAATTCCTCACCACATCCCCCATAGTGCCAACCATAGAGCCCCTCTGGCCAGGTGACGCCCACGTTGGTAACCATCCAGCTTCCTTATAGGCATTCACCCACCCTTCTAGAAGGCGATCTAGAATGTCCGGAGCGGCAACACTTAACCAGAGGTAAACCGTCCTGTAAGCATCCCAAAAGCCACTGTCAGTCGCCAACTCGCCGGGAACGACTTTCCCAGTATAAACACTGTAGTGCACGAGTTGATTATTCTGATCATATTCACCAAGGAGTCTCGGGAACAGCATAGTTCGATAGGAATTGGTATAAAAAGTTCTCAAAAAGTTACTGTTTCGCTGTACTGTATCATAGGTAACCAGACTTAGGCGTGTT